TGAAAGAAGTTTCTTCCCTCATATGGCTCATATCCTGATTGAGGGAGAAAGCCAGTAAACAATAGGCAAGTCCATATACAGGATGTCATGTGGTGATATGTACTGTGGAGAATGGGCTTCCCACTGGTTCAGAGGTAAAGAATCTGCCCCGTAACGCAGGAAATGCAGGAGACCCAGGTTCAATCCCTGGGTCGGGAAGATCCCCTGGAGGAGGGCATGGCAACCCACTCCAGTGTTCTTGCCTGGAGAATCCCACGGACAGAGGAGACGGCAGGCTGCAGTCCATGGGGTTGCAAAGAGTCGGACGTGACCGAGCATGCACGTGAGCACACTGTGGTGGAGTAAGACTGCAGGCGTCGGGGCCCTGCTATTTTTACACGGGGGTCAGGGTAGGCCTCCTTAATACAGTGAAATTTGAGCAGAGACCTGAAGGGAGCCAGGCACAGTCACGTGGCCATCTGGGGGAAGAGGGGTCTCGTGAGAGAGAACAGAGACAAAAGAGCTTGGAGGTTAGACTGTCTCAGAGTGCTTGAGGGACAGCAAAGTGGTCTGTGGCCGAAATCCAATGAGCAAGGTGAAGGGCACACAAAAAACCAGCAGAAACAGTGAGGTGGGGGGTGGGCAGGTCCCTCTGGACCTTGGAGCCATTCTGGAGGGTTCTAAGCAGAGTTGCAGCACATTTCTGACTTAAATCTTAAGGGTTTGATTCTGGTTGCCTTGCTGAGAGTGCTCTTGTGGGTACAAAGGCTGAAGGGAGTTGTCAATTTAGGAGATTAGGTGAGAGGTGACCAGGGGTTGGCCCAGGGTCGTAGCAGTGGAAGTGGGGTGAGTGTTCAGATTTGGGGCATATTTTGAGGATGAGCTTTGAGGAAATAATATTTGACGTAGGAAGGAAGGTCTGGCAGACCCCAGAAACAAGTACAGCAAAGAGCACAGGGCCTGGGGAAGATGGGATTGCGCAGCTCTGGAGGGGGTGTGGGAGGGCCCCAAAGGCCTGGGTGAGAGGTGTGGACTCCGTTCTGTAGGCAGCATGGCCTGGGGAAGGGCACACCTACTGGGACATGCACCAGAGGAGCCTCTGTGGGTGCTGGTGCTGTGGCTCTCCAGGGTTCCAAGGCCTGCAAAAAAGAAAAGGACCCACCCTGCTTCCCTCCTGAAGGCTGTGTTGTGGATGGCCCAGCCCACTGCCTCTGTGTGGTCTTTACTCTGGCAACAAGCAGGTGGGCCATTCACTCTAGGGTCCTCAGCTCAGGACTCCTGCCCCCTCTTTGAAATCAAGCCACTGGTCCTCACTGGCCCCTGAGAAGGGCTTTTCTCTTGCAAAAGGGGAGCAAGCAAGGTTTGTCCTGGGACAGCTGGTTTCACTTGGGTCAGGAGATGCAAGAAAGATCCTCTATGCCTCGGAATGAAGAGGGGACTTGGTCAGGGAGGATGGGAGAGTTTTGTCTGTTGGACTGTCCATTTGCAGAGGCTGGCTGCCTTCCACTTTCTCAGCTCTGAAAGATGGTTCCCAGCCCTGCACGCAGGAACCCAGCCTAACTCCCCATTCACTGCTCCCTCTGCAGACAGGCCCTGCTCAGGGTCCTGTTCTCTAAGCAAACCTTCTCAACGGCCACTGAGAAGGCAAAGGGGCAAAAGGGAAACTGAAGCATGAGTCAGGGGGCACACAGAAGGGAGCACACACTCCCAATCCCAGCCTCCCCAGGCACACCCCGTCACTCTTGGGGAACCTATCATGCCCTGAGCCTCTGGCCAGTTAGGGTCCTTGTTCCTCTCACTGACTCCTTGAGAACAGCTCCTTTCAGTGATCCCACAATCCTGACCCAGGGCAGTAAGGGGGGGCGGGGGTCACTGAATGAATGAAGGGATGTGGGATTTCCTGAGAGTAAGTGAGCAGGATACACTTGGAAGACAATAGAAGCATGTGTGCGTGTGCTCAGTCACTCAGTTGTATCCGACTCTTTGGGACCCCATGGACTGTAGTCTACCAGGCTCCTCTCTCCATGGGATTTTCTGGGGAAGAATCCTCGAGTGGGTTGCCATTTCCTCCTCTAGGGGATCTTCCCAACCCAGGGATCGAAACTGCATCTTCTGCATTGGCAGGTGGATTCTTTACCACTGAGCCACCTGGGAAGAAGCATGTAAGGAAGCTTAAGAAAAAAAAAGAAGTGGAGGGACTTCCCCGGTGGCCCAGTGATTAAGACTGTGCCTCCACTGCAGGGGACATGGGTTTGAGCCCTGCTCAGAGAACTAAGATCCCATATGCTGCATGGTGTGGCCCCCCCCCCCAAAAAAGGAAGCTCCAGAAGGAGCCAAGGCTGTCCTAATGCCATGCATCTTCCCTCCCCACATCCCCCATACTATAGAAAGAATAATTGCTAACATTTCCTGAGCACTTACTACAAGCCAGACCCTGTGTACAATTTCATTTGATCCCCACAGGAGCCCTCTGAGGTAGGCGCTATCACCAGGCCCATTTTACAGATGCCAACAATTGAGGAACAGAGAGGCTGAGTTATTTGTCCAAGGTCACACGGCTGCTGCTGCTGCTAAGTCACTTCAGTCATGTCCGACTCTGTGTGACCCCATAGATGGCAGCCCACCAGGCTCCCCCGTCCCTGGGAGTCTCCAGGCAAGAACACTGGAGTGGGCTGCCATTTCCTTCTCCAATGTGTGAAAGTGAAAAGTGAAAGTGAAGTCGCTCAGTCGTGTCCGACTCTTAGTGACCCCATGGACCGCAGCCCACCAGGCTCCTCCATCCATGGGAATTTCCAAGCAAGAGTACTGGAGTGGGGTGCTATTGCCTTCTCTGGTCACACGGCTACTGAGCAATAATGCTGGGATTCAATTCAAAAGCAGATTTATCTGACCCCAATGCTATGTACTTAACTACTACACATTGCCTCCCAGGCCCTGCAGAATCTTGAATGCGTGTGTCCACCTCAGGGTAGCTCAGATCGACCCTCTGCTGTGTCCAGTTATCCCCATCCCAAGACAATGGTGTTATGTTTGAAGAAAGCCCTTTATAACACTGTCAAATACCAGTGAGTACTGTTATTACTGATAACATCAACAAGGACTCCTCTCCCAGTACCGCTTCCCATTTCCGCTGTCCATTTTCCAGCCCCCTAGTAAAGCCCTCTACTTGTGGTCCTCTCAGCCACACGTTCAGGGTGGAGGGTGTCCATGCGCTCCGCCCCTCCCCTCATGTCCTGCCCCATCCCGGCCCCCTCCCTCTCCATCCTTCCTGGAGGCACCCTCACAGCATCAACACCTGCCCATTTCCCTCAGACTGTTTCCTGCTGACACCCTCAGTCCCTCCCAGCAGCCAGCAGCCTCTCCCTGAGGGACTGGACTGATTGTTTCCCAGATCCTGGAGAGGCAGGATCTGGGACTCTGATTCCAGGCACGCCCTCCTGCTCTGCAAATTTGGGGAGCTGATTCCAAGGCAACCTTGAAATCCAGTCACAGGAAAGATCATGGGTTACTGAATTTCTGAGAAGCTCTCAGACAATTCCAGGTTTGAGGATTTGGAAACACCCAGATCCCAAGTTCTAGGAATACCCAATCCTTCCGGATTCTGAGGTGGCAATCTTGGAAATTTTGACCTCAGGACTTCTGATCCAGTCCCTTGTGGAAACTGTTTCACTTCCTCAGGCTCTTTGTATGACTTCAACATTACCGATGTTGAAAGCTAGAAGTAGATTTAAAAATCTTTCCCCAATAGAGCTGTACAATTCTCAGAAATTTTGTGAGGAGCAATATATATTTTTAATCTCACATATGGAGATATTTAAATATTTGTGAATCTTATTATTTTAATGCTATTTGCAGAGCAATGGTGACCTAGCTGGAGCACTATGGAGAATGTGACCATTGTGTGGGTTATTAGAGATGTGAATGCCCCCGTAAGGCACACACACAGGATTCCTCCTCACCCTTGTTTTTTCAGTTTCCCCCCCCACTGGACCCTTACATCTCTGTGTCTTAGACTGAGTGAGGATGATCCTAGGGATAAAGTTTCTGAGCTATCTGGGGTGATCACGAGAGGAGGGGTGAATTGTACAACCTCTTCTCTGAAACTCAGGAAACTCCCCAGCTTCGGCCCTCGCCTGAACCTGGCCTTGGGCCAGGGCTCCCACAGTTCCCAGACCAACATCACTGTCCTTCAAGCGTGGCCTGAGGGCCTGCCCCCTGGCCCTGCTGGCCCTGGGAAGGGGATGAAGCCTCTAGGAAGCCTTCTCGTAGCTCCTTCCCTGACTCTTACCGCCTATAAGGCAGAACAGGGATGGTTACCATCCTTACTCTGTCCTGTCAGGAGAAGCAGGGGTAAGGGACGAGTGAGGACTGGGGTAAGGGGTGGGGGTCAGAAAGGAAAAAGTCACTGGAGGTCAGTGAACCTTCAACAAGTCAGGCTGAGTGATTAGGGTCGGATTTCACAGCCTGGGGCTTATGACAAGGGCGGCGGGGGAGACAGGGATGTCGAAGGAAAGGGACAGTCTGACCTACAGAGTGGGGAGTGGGGAATCCCGCTTGGGACAGAAGTGCTTGCATTGAGTGGTGGGAAGCTGAGTGATGGGGAGAGGACCAGGGACACATGGAAAAAGTTAGCGGTTTCAGGTGAGACTCAGTCGTCTGACATTCCTTCTCTCCAGCACCTGCCCACCGGAGGAACTGGGGGGGTGGGGGGAGCCCGGTATCCTGCACCTGTTCTTTTTCCAGCTCCCTTGTCTCCAACCCCTCAACTGGCTCTCTTCTCTAGAGGTCCTCTCAAAGCCCTCTTCTCCGGCTATCCTGACTTGCTCCCCCCAGCAAACTGCTTTCCCCAGCCTAACCCAATTTTCCACCTACCCCAAATTTCTTTGCTTCGTCAGCCCACGCCCCCCCCCCCAAAAAAAAAATCAGTAGTTTCTCTAGCCTGCCTCTTCGATCGTTCTTAGCTCCGGCCCTGGATCCCCCAGCCCTAGCCCTGTCAGAACCCCTAAGCCCTCCCCCGGCACCCCTCCTCTAGTCCCTTTTCCAGCGCGCCAGCTTTCCCGATCCCCGCAGCCCGCAGCCCGCCGGAGCCCGGCACGAACCCGATTCGGAAGAGCAGCCGCTTGCTACGCGCCATGAACAGGCCGCGGAGGGTCCGCCGCGCTCGGCAGCTGCGGGGGCTCAAGAGCAGGATGAAGACTAGGAGCAGCAGCCCGCAGCTGGCGACCCACAGCCACGACGCAGGCCAGCCTCGCCAGGCCATGCTGGGGGCAGGAGCCCGCGGCGGGCCAGGGGGCGGGACGGGGCGTTGCTAGGCGACGGCTCGGCCCAGGCCCCCAAGTGGGGAACCTGAGGGCTTGGGGCCCCGCCCCCTGCACCAGCCAGCTGGGAGACTGGGGGCATACTGGCCCCGCCCTTCCATTGACTCACGTTCGAACCCGCCCACTCGCCACCCTGGGTACTGTGGACGCCCCGAATGCCACCCTCTGGAGGCGGCCTGGCCCCGCCCCCGGCTGGCCGGCCGGGAGGCGGGGCTGGGCAGTAGCCGGTAACCGACCTGCGCTAATCCCGGTGTACAATTGCCAGAGCCCGGGGCTCGGCCCTACACCCCACCTTTCCCCAATAAGGAGCTCTGGGAGAGGTCCTGGAGAGGTCTTCTTGCTGGGAAACCTTAGCCTCATAAACTTCTTCAGCTGGAAGGAAACTGGGAGATCACGTGGGTCAGCTGCCGTTCATTCATTTATTCATTAACTAAATGAATTTTCTGTGTCCTCCTTTGTGCCAGGCCCCGTGCCAGGATCTGAGGATGCAAGGGTCAAAGACACACATTCTCGGCATTCCTGGAGCCTAGAATCTCTCGGAGAAACAAACCAAATAAGCAAACAATTATCTATGCACTTACTATACTTACATATACACATACATACCTACCTGCTGTGTGATTATAACACTGCGGTTCTATGGAGGTCAGAGAGGGCCAATTTAGGTGTGGGAGGGCCTCCTTGAGCAAGTGAAATGTAAGCCATGCCCTGAATGATAAGAAGTCACAGAGGCTGAGAGGGAGTGATTCCACCAAGATTATACAAAAATGATGGCAGAAACAGGAATAGGACCCAAAATAGCCCAAGCCGATGGGAATTCCACATCACTGACCCCTCCACCCCCACCATACTGCCTTCCGGATGAATTCCAGAGGTTAAGATCAGTGGGTTGGAAGAAAATGTAGACAGGCATGGTGATCTCTTTAATAAATTTGGGCAAACTGGAACTTGGGGCTGGGCTCTTTCCAGCTGCAACCCTAGCCTTAGCCCTGCACAGGGAGGGAAGGAAATTTGCCAACAGTGACGGCAGTGATCTCTCCTGCTGGAAGATGGTTGGGGAGGACAGTAGGGGAGGCAGGGCTCTTGTTTTCTTCTGTTTCTTTGCTTCCGCCTGTGCTCTGGCCTGAGAGAGGCTGGATAACCTGATCCCCAAACCACACATTTATCCTTGCTCTCTGATGTACTCTGAGTAGATCACTGGATCTAAAGATTGAGTTCCCAGCATGAAGAGCATCCAGGTATAGGCTCATTATGCATAATGAATTGAAGGCCTCACTCCTCAACCACCTCCGAAGAAAAAGCCAAGATACATGTTAAATTATCCCCAAACTGAATTGTAATCCCAACACCCAACCCTGGGTTTCCTTCTGTAACTCCAGACAGTAAAGTTTCTCTTATCTTAAAGGTCAGAGATATAGCCTGCTCCCTTCCTGTCTCCATACCCACAATTCAGCTTCTTCTCAGTGCCTGGCACATAAAGGGCTCCCAATAAACAAGAATCAGATAGAAATGAATTAAACCCCTGTGTATGCTGCAAAAGGGGCGGGGCTGAGAACACTAACAAGCTAGTTTGTAGAAGGCCCTCTGGGCCAAGGGAACTTGTATGTCTCTAAGTCTGTGTGTATACATGCAAAGTGAAGAATTATGGAGCCTGGTCAAAAGTCACTGTGAACACACCTTTCTGCAGGTACAGCTGTGCCAGGCATGATATTGAGAAATCAAAACACAGCCCCTGACATCTGAAACAGGAAATGCAGGCTCAAGCATGAGCTCGCAGATACAGAAATGATTGAAGGCTAAATCTAATCTCATGCTACACACACATTTACAAGATTATAGCTAATCATCAACATACATTTTATGAAATGCAGGGAGCTGGACAAGGCTGTGGATAAGGAGTAAGAGTGGGTGTTTTGAGAATTCACACAGGACCAGGAAGCTACCCTTCCCTCTTGAACTATTCTGAAAGACGTTCAATATCCACTCCAAATCCGCTTTGGTTTCACCTCAGGTGGCACCAGTGGTAAAGAACCCTCCTGCCAATGCAGGAGGCTAAAGAGACATGGGTTCAATCTCTGGGTTAGCAAGATCCCTTGAAGTAGGAAATGGGAACCCACTCCAGTATTTCATGGACAGAGGAGCCTGACAAGCTACAGTCCATGGGGCTGCAAACAGCTGGACACAACCTCACCACTGAGTGCACACACACCTCTCCCATGAGAATTTTTTGCCCCAGCCAGATTGATGCTTCATTATTCACTGTGTCCTGCACTTGATACCTGGTAATACCTCACTGCTTGCAGACATTTGGCTTGGGGGGCACTCCTAAGATGAGGATCGGCCTGTGCTTGGCAGAGCTTTTATTTTGCTGAAATCTCCTCTCATTATCCACAGTTATTATTAAAACCTCAGGCCCAGCTACAGTTCCTTTGCTTTCAGCCAATATGCTTCTTAGAGGAAGTAATTTCCCTGTCCAGTCAGTCTTCTACAAATTTTGTGACTTACATACGAATTTTTGGTGGAAATGCTATTGGCTCCTCTTGTTCATATTGTCAAGCAGTGTTTCTCCTGGCCTCCACTTTTTCTTACTCTATAAGCAAACTCAAGCATCTCCTTGCCTTAAAAACTTCCCTTGGGAATTCCTTAGCAGTCTAGTGGTTGGCTTTCCTGGTGGCTTAGTTGGTAAAGAATCCGCCTGCAATGCGGGAGACCTGAGGTCGATCCCTGGGTTGGGAAGATCCCCTGGAGAAGGGAAAGGCTACCTACTCCAGTATTCAAGCCTGGAGAATTCCATGGACAGTATAGTCCATGGGGTCGAAAAGAGTTGGATATGACTGAGCAACTTTCACTTTCCAGTGTTTGGGACTCTGAGCTTCTACTGCACGAAGCATGGTTCAATCCCTGGTTGGGAACCTTAAGATCCTACAAGCCATGTAGCGGAACCAAAAAAAAAAAAACCAAACCTGGCCTTGACCTTGGGTCCATATCTAATTTCTCTTCTGCCTTTATCTTAACACAACCTAGTTTCCGGAAAGGCTTTCTCCTTGTGTGTGGTATTAATAGATTGCATTTCAGTTCTCAATTCTTCATCTCTCCCTGAAAATATACACCTCACCATATGACTACACACCATTTCCATGGAGGTGAAATATATTTCTCCCACACCACTGATCTTGGACTTGGTCTTGTGACTTGCCTTTGCCAATGGAATGTTAGCAGACATGATACAAAAGAGGTCTTAAATATGCTTAACAGTTAACTTGGACTCTAGCCACAACTTTCACCATGAGAACATCCTGGGTAGTCAGTTGCTAGGCTAAGGAGAGTCAAAGACACATGGAGGTGACCTGGACCCACTCACAGCTGGAAGTCAACTCAGCCCAGCTATTGTTCAGTTTGCTAAATCCCGTCCAACTCTTTGCAACACCATGGACTGCAGCACACCAGGCTTCCCTATCCTTCACCATCACCCAGAGTTTGCTCAAACTCATGTCCATTGAGTCAGTGATGCCATCCAACCATCTCATCTTCTGTCACCCCCTGCTCCTCCTGCCCTCAATCTTTCCCAGCATCAGGGTCTTTTGCAATGAGTCAGCTCTTCGTATCAGGTGGCCAAAGTATTGGAGCATCAGTTTCAGCATCAGTCCTTCCAGTGAATATTCAGGGTTGATTTCCTTTAGGATTGACTGGTTTGATCTCCTTGCTATCCAAGAGACTAAAGAGTTTTCTCCAGCACCACAATTCAAAAGCATAAATTCCTTGGCACTCAGCCATCTTTATAGTCTAAGTCTCCCATCTGTACATGACTACTAGAAAAACCATAGCTTTGAATAGATGAAACTTTGTCAGCAAAGTGATACTTTTTATCATGCTATTTAGGTTTGTCATAGCTTTCTTTCCAAGGGGCAAGCGTCTTTCATGGCTGCAGTCACCATCTGCAGTGATTTTGGAACCCAAGAAAATAAAATCTGTCACTGTTTCCACTTTCCCCCCATTTACTTGCCATGAAGTGAGGCGACTGGATGTCATGATCTTAGTTTTTTGAATGGTGAGTTTTAAGCCAGCTTTTTCAGTCTCCTCTTTCTCCCTCATCAAGAGGCTCTCTAGTTCCTCTTCACTTTATGCCATTAAAGGGGTATCATCTGCATATCTGAGGTTGTTGATATTTCTCCTGGCAATCTTGATTCCAGCTTGGGATTCATCCAGCCTGGCATTTCTTATGATGTACTCTTCATAGAAGTTAAATAAGCAGGGAAACAATATACAGCCTTAACATACCCCCAATCTGGAATGAGTCTGTTGTTCCATGTCCGGTTCTAACTGTTGCTTCTTGACCTGTATTCAGGTTTCTCAGGAGGCAGATAAGGTGGTCTGGCATTCCTACCTTTTTCAGAATTTTCCACAGTTTGTTGTGATCCACACAGTCAAAAGCTTCATACATTGAGTATTCATATGTTGGTATGAATTGTATGATTCAGACAGATTGGGTATCAACTGGCATAATTTTCTAGAAAACAATTCCAATATGCATCAAGGTTTTAAAAAATATACATCCTTTGACTCAATAATTCCTTTTTAGCAACCTGCAAAAGATCTGCCCCAAATGTACAAAATGGTGTGGCTGTAAACAGCCAATAGGTCAGGCAGTAAGGGAAGAGTTAAGGTTCTATGAACCTCTGTGCAGCTTTAAAATGGTGTTTATTTTTATTTTTTTTAATGGCGTTTATTTTTTATTCTATTTTCTTTAAAGATGATGTGTGTGCCATCACTTTTCTTTTATTATTTTTATTATTTATTTATTTATGTCACTGTGCCAGGTCTTAGATGTGGCATGGAGGGTCTTTTTTTTAAGTTGTGGCATGTGGAATCTAGTTCCCTGACCAGGGATAGAAGCCCAGTCCCCTGCACTGGGAGGGTGTGGATTCTTAGCCACTGAACCACC